ATCAACCTATTCCCATAGCTTCCATGCCACTTCGATCACATTACAATACAGGAAAAATTTGTATAGCCAGAGAGTTTTTAATAAGTGGAACAAGCTGCCACAAACTGCCATTGATGCTCCCACACTCCTCAGCTTCAACTGACAATTATCCAATATGGGTTTTTAAATGGGTCCCATCAATCCATGGTACGTACCCCCTTAACCCTGCCACACCATACTATCTGCTCTATCTTCATCACTACGATGGCGAAGTGTGGCCTTCAAGATATATTCAAGGTATATTCAATAGCATCACCAGAACTCAATTTTATCATCTTTATCTTTTAGTTATTCATTGTACCTTGCCTGTCTTCTGAGAAAATGAAAGTCAAGAAAATTGTGACACATTCGAGTATGGTATGCAAGGCATTTTTAATACTGCTATTTCCTTTCCCTGCAGCAAGATCAGAATGTACCATAGCCGAACGAGCCATACAGCGATCTATAGAATCACAATATTAAACCCTCGTAACCTTTTCACTCTAACGATGGCAAACCCGCAGTATTAGCACCATGTTTGAAACCCGTAGTCCGATGAAGACTTCACATACAAGCCTTCCATGCGCTCTCCTAATGGAATCAATATCAAGCCTGCCTAATTAAATTTCTGGAACTCTTTGTATGGCAATATCAGGTGTTGTTAAAGGCTGTCAATTTTCACGGGAAATGTGTTTTTCTTGGTGCCTCTTGAGGGTGGTTGAGAGCAAACCGATAATTGATTTTCTTCAATTAGCTGTGAAACTTGAAAGCTATAAAAAGACATTGAGCGTGTTTCTGTCTGACTGAATATATTTCTATTAATATTACATTGAGTAGAAAAAATCATTTTAACCATGCCCCATAAAAGTATCTTTTCCTTTAAAGCTAAAGTTTAAGTTTGATCAAGAAATTGTACTTTTTTTATTACTGTTTTATTCTTAAGCTTCATATATGTAGACATGTATCTAACCTTCATCAGTTTCAATACATACATGTAGTCACACACACATAAGCGAAACTGTATACTTTGGGGTACATGTGAATTTCAAACTTGAGTATTACAGTCAAATCTGCTTTAGTGACCACCTGTCTACAGAAAGTACCTGTTTACAAAGACCACTTTTCGTGTTTCCCTTGGGCGGTCGCTATAGACAAGTAAGACTGTATAAGGATTCTCTTTGGCGGTCTTCATTGGACAATTATTTCTATCTCAGTACAATTCCAGTGAAGTTGATAATCAACAGTGCCTTCAAATTTATTTCTTTGCTGAAAGAGGAATGAATGTTCATACAGCAAAAAATTATATATGCCATTGACCAATCTCAATTTAAATAGGATACGTTCCTTTTTAATTCAATTGCCATTTCCAATTAACTGCATATGAACAATGCTCCAATCTATTGACAATGTCCATGAACAATCGTAGCTTCATGGCACTCACCGCCGCTCATATCAATCTTGTTAATGCTAATTGATTGGCACAATTAGAAATTTCATGTGAAATGAAAACAAGAGCTAGTTGGGTGAATGCAGCAATTCAATTTTCATAACCTTGGATTATCAAAGCACTGGAAAACAGAGGAAGCAGGACAAATCAATATCACGAAGTCAATAATTGGAGGTGGTTCGCTGGTGGGTTGAGAAGGAAATGATGTTACGAACAATAAGCGCTGCAATGCAATCCCATTCAGATTGTGTGTTCACTAATACTCTAATAGCTTTGTTAACCTAGCCGTTTCATTTTTATTCAAAACACAATTCCAACAGGGACTCCATCCTGGTTGTTTTTAGCTTTAGTATTTGAGAGGTTAACCTGTTTAATATGACTTGGTTTTGACTAACATGGATGTTCGTAGACTACAGCAGGCTCAGTATTCAATGGATTAAGGTATCGATTGCTGTCTCAGTTACCCTAATTATCTAGAATGAAAGCAAATCATTCCTGGCACTTTAATTCTTGCACTCATTACAAATGAGGAGTGTGTCAAAAGGCGTAGTTATACAATTTGTACCTGTTGTCGACAAACGGAGGCAGGAATTGCAAATTGGAGATGAAATCATGAATTTTGATGGAGTAATCCCCCTAATGGTGTAAATGGATTCGATATTCTCACCATTATCTGGAAAACTCGATTGAAAATTGAAATCGACTTGATAATATGTATTATCTCTTGGGAGCATTAATTTCCCATATCATTGTCAAAGTGCCACATGCTACCTTTTTTTTTTTTTTTTACTCCTATCCATCTATCTCCATCTCTTTTTTTTTGTCTCTCTCTGCCTCTCTATTTATGACTGTCCTTCTCTCTTGCTCTCTCTCTCTTGCTCCCTCTCTCGCTCTCTCTCTCTCTCTCTCGCCTCTCTCTCTCTCTCTCTCTCTCTCTCTCTCTCTCTCTCTCTCTTGCCCTCTCTCTCTCTCTCTCTCGCTCTCTCTCTCTCTCTCTCTCTCTCTCTCGCTCTCTCTCTCTTGCTCTCTCTCTCTCGCTCTCTCTCTCTCGCCCTCTCTCTCTCTCTCTCTCTCTCTCTCTCTCTCTCTCTCTTTATGCCTGTCCCCTTTCTCAATCACTTCCTTACTTGAACATATAATGTTATAGATGTAATTGCTTAGAAGAAAATCCTTTTCATTATAAAGTTGGAACGTGGTGCTTGGGCACACAATTAAATCATCTACTTGCCCATTGGGCAAGTGGAACAAACTCTCTTTGAGCATCCTGACTGGCTATTTAGATTTTCAGGCTAGTGAAAACAGACCTCTCTCCACACAACCACCACCTCAGTCATTTCTATCCATCTCTATTGTCTCTATCCCACTTCTGTTTCCTCTTCCCTTCCCCAACCCCCATCACTCTGTTGGCCTCCTGCCAGTTTGAAACAGAAAAATAGGAAATCATAATCTTGGCAAATGTCAGAGCATGTAGAAAGCATGTTCATGTACCTAGAATCAGTGGCAGAAGCAAATTAGAATGGGTGATGCTTTTGGGCAAGTGGAACAAACTCTCTTTGAGCATACTGACTGGCTATTTAGCTTTTCAGGCTAGTGAAAACAGACCTCTCTCCACACAACCACCACCTCAGTCATTTCTATCCATCTCTATTGTCACTATCCCACTTCTGTTTCCTTTTCCCTTCCCCAACCCCCATCACTCTGTTGGCCTCCTGCCAGTTTGAAACAGAAAAATAGGAAATCATAATCTTGGCAAATGTCAGAGCATGTAGAAAGCATGTTCATGTACCTGGCATGCAAACAGACAAATCTGGAATCAGTGGCAGAAGCAAATTAGAATAGGTGATGCTTTTTGCACAGAGATTGCAAATGTTCGGTCCGTGATATGAAATCATATTCCCATGGTTACTTTGGGGTCCAAATGAGATTAACTCATCAAATTATAGTCGCCTTCAAATACATTTTTTAAAAGGCATCCCGCTCACGGTTTGTGAGCAAGAAAGATTACTGAAACCGACAGAGGAAGTCCACCCAGATATTAAGTTGGTTTTAATAAAAGCAGAAACATGAGAGAAACAAATCAGTGAAATTCTGAGCAATATCCGATCAGAAATAGGAAATTTTAGAATTTTTGAAGGCGTCATCAGTGAAACACAAATCGGCAACACTACGACGGGTCCAAATGAGATTAACTCATCAAATTATAGTCGTCTTCAAATATAACAAAATGCATTCTGCTCATGGTTTGTGAGCAAGAGAGCTTACTGAAACCAACTATTTAAAGAGGAATTCCACCCAGTTATTAAGTTGGTTCTAATAAAAGCAGAAAAATGAGAGAAACAAATCAGTGGAATTCTGAGCAATATCCGATCAAAAATAGGAAGTTTTTGAATTTTTGAAGTCGTCGTCAGCGGCAACAATAGGATGCAACTTGCAACCTCCTCTCAAATTTGCTATGTACAGTACAAATGATTTCATAAACTTTCATTTTCTTAGTTATTGATTATGGAATAGAATTGTTTCATACAGGGTTGTATAAAATTCAAAAATTCCTCTAGGGAAAATGGGAGGGGATTTGAAAGATACACCAATGAGTTGCCAGTTTGTGTTTGATTGATCGCACAGGTCTTCAAAAATCCATAACTTTCTTATTTTTGATTGGTTTTTGCTCAAAAATTTCACTGACCTGTTTATCTCATTTTTCTGCTTCTATTAAAATCAACTTAATATCAGGGTGGGCTTCTCCTTTAATCTACATTTGTCACACTCTACCCAAGTACTTTTACAAGCAAGTACCTGGTAAAGTTTATTCCTTGGAAGCAGTGAGCGCGCTAGGGTTGCTAAAGCTGGGGTTATAATATCCAAAGTCTTTTGGAAGCGCATCGTGATGTTACATGGAAATCACAATGTGATATGCACTTTACAAGAACAGCATATATTTGTCTTAATATCATATTACATACTTGCATATTTTACATTATACAGTACATCCCAGAAAAAACGAAACAGAGAATTATTGATATTTTATCATAAATGAATCACAATTATAATTGATAAATGACACATATTTGGAAAGCTTAGATCCTCCTCTTTCATCTGATGCAACTCATATAATGCATACTTCACGCATGAGTGATTGAAATGAATTTGAAGAGAGGAAACCAAAAAGTCATTTGGCGGACGGTATCTGAATTTCAAAGAAAAAACCACATTTCTAGAAAGTTGAGTTTCTGCCCTTTCAAATGACACCTCAATCACAAAAAAATGAGCTAGGAATAACAAAGTTCTGTATGTTTACAGTAGTGCTTGCATTTTCATAATTTTATCAAACAAATTCGTTTTCACTAGCTGCCTGCCTTAGCAACAAACAGAGTTAAGTCTTTTGTCAATTTGTCACTAAATGTGACTAAGTTATTATAAAACATCGATAATTCTCGGTTTCATTTTTTCTGGGAGGCACTGTATATAACATCAATTGTCATTGTTGCCTTTGCATGATTGAGAAAACAAATGAATTGAACCCGGATTGGAAACTAACCTGTAGGTAGCGTAGCCTCTGTTGCACTAGTTTTGTTAGCTCCTTTGCCTCTTTCTGTCTCCATGACGAGAACCCATCCGCTCTGCTTAAATTGTAGATATCTGTCATAATAGACCTGCGTAAACAAACAATGGCAATATAAGCATTTAAAATATTTTAAAAAATATAAAAATTGATGCGATAAGCCCTATTTATACTGCTATGGATCCACTCAAAATAAAAGGACATAAAAATTGAATGATTATTCATTTCAAATAACTGTTATCATCATCTTAATGTGTAACATTTATTTAACAAACTTTGTATTGTTGCAAGTCAAAGTATCTTCAGATAAATCAACAAATGTGGATGTTCATTCATGATGTGTGGTAACTTCTTTTACGAATTAAAGACAAAGTCCATCATTTTGTGCTTCAAAAGGTCTTTGAATTTCTGCGCAGCTTTATTTGGAAACTTCCTACATTACCCCTTTTTGTGTGTCATTCTATTATTTTCATGTTTGTGTGTACAGTGGTGACTGTACACTCAACCAATCATGTGTAATCGTCCATGACCTAGCATCGTTTATCCATCTATGAATGAACCTGCATTCAATCAGCAGATGTATAAGTTTTATTGTATTAAAAGAAAGCCAACACTCCTTCTCTCCCCTTTCCTTTTCTTCTCTGCAAGTCACTTTTTTCTGTTTTTTATTTTTTATTGTTGTATCTAAGTTGAGGACTGCGGGCACGTCAAGCTACTTTGCTTACGGTATGCTGTAGCCATCCTGCATCTAATGTATGTTAATTATGCATTCAATATATTTGTTTAATTTCATACATTTTCTGTATATATTCAAATGAAATATTGTATCAAAACCATATTATGTTCATGAAAATGTATAATGAAAAAAGAAACTATTAAATCAAATTAAATCAAATAAATAACATTCATGAATATGAGCCATTATTTTGTAAAAATCTAAAGTGTACCAATCCCCTAATCACTTGATGCTCTGTAAGTTGAGGTTTTATAACACTGTACTATATACGGATGTGAGCTTCAATGTAACTGCTAAAGAGGTATTGCAAGTTTAATACACCACCTATTCACATACAGGCCACTTGTGAGTAGACGATTTGACACACCCTTACATGTTTGTGCTCAGGTAGATTAAGCAAGGTGTGCACTGAACCCAAGTTGTACTTTGGTTGAAGGGTTCCCTCATTCTGTAATGTTTTATGCCATTCTTTATTTTCTTCATACTCCAATAACCTTTAGACAATACAGTTGTCTTGAGGGGGGGGGGGGGCTGATTTTATATTGGTATCAAAATTCTATTTCTAGGTGATTGATATCCTTCACCTGTGAAAGAGTTATGATAAATAATGTCTTGTTACGAACATGTACAGTTGATCACCCTTATCATCGTTATCACAGTCATCATCATGATATGATCATCACCAACATCATCATCATTATCATTATCACCATCATCATATGTCGTCTCACATAAGGCTGGCTGCCAATAGTCTTCAATAGCCCTCAATCTATAAAGTGTGCAACTTGGGAACAAAAATAGTTTTCTTTTCCTACCTACATGTAGGCAACCCTTGAAATAAGCGTCCAGTAACCAGGGGCAATTTATTTTCATAAGTTGCCGCTGCTTCACGGGGATTTAACCAGAACCAGGGGCAATTTCTGAAGAACCAGGGGCATTTTTCCAAAAACAGATAATGACAACCAATTACACAAGTTAATTACCGGTCCCTTTCACCATGCTGTCTCCTACATTAGTCATTTTAACGTTCTCTTCCACAATTTGAATGGCGCTTTAAGTCAATATGTGCTACATACAAATTAAGAACGACTTCCATTTCGTGAAAAGAAAGATGCATTGAAAAAACAATGCAAGAGTCAATTGAGTGAGTGGAAAAGCTTGTTTTAATGACAAAGACAAGGACATAGAGCAGACGAGACAATACAAACAGCTAAAGCATCTTTCTAAAATATGGATTTTTGTGGTGGGTATTATCAGGATACCGAGTTCCCGGGGGATTCACTAATCACTATGCTAATATGATTGATTCCTTAACAAAAATGCAGTCATTGATCCATTGTGTTCTTACTTAATAGTGTTGAAGTAAATGATTATTACTTGCATTTTTGTTGATGAGGGATTGTAAATAGACTGGGAAACAAGAAAATAAAACATGGATGAACTGAAATGGAACAAGGCTGAGACTATTGAGAGAGGGAAGCTATAATATCATTCAAGATAAAAAAACAAAAAAACATTACATACTTAAAGGGCAATCCATGGTCCAACCTTTATAAGTTCATTATTATTAAAGCAGAAAAAGCTGAAAAGCAAAGAAACAGAATGGAAAAAGTTTGAAATAAATCGGACCAATTATAACAGAGTTATGAATGTTTGAAATATGAGATCACTACAGCTATGTGACTCAAATTGGCAATTTTGTCAGTGGATTATTATGTATTCACGGACAACTCTCACATTCCTCATGTACAAAATATCTCCTTTTTTTTTCTTTCCATAGTGCCTTCTCCCTTGGGGTACTACTCAGAATATAACATGAATAGCATATACATGTATTATTGTAGGTCCCTTATAAAGAAAAGACTCTCCCATGTCTTACATTTTGAAGAAGAAAAAACATTTAAGTGACTTTGTGTGTTGGAACAAATGGGAAAGTTCTCCGGCACCACATCACGGTATTATTAATACTGATTCACCCAATTTTAAGTGCCCATCCGTATAGTGATTACAACTTTCAAAAATACATTACTTTCTGATTTTCTAGTCCAATTCCATTCAAAGTTTTTCCAGTCTGCTTCTCTGAGTTTCCTGCTTTCTTTTAGAGTAAGGTTTTCTATTAAGGATGGCTTTTCCTATATCAACATTCCTTCTTTCTACGGTAGCTTTTGTCACATACGTTCACTGGTTTTTAGATATAACAGAACCATACTTTAATATACAGTGCTTTTGAAAATCAAGCAAGACACTATCACGACCTGGCAGAGTCACAGCCAATAAGCTATTTAACTGAGTACCACTTAGTACCACTTACATATAAGTCAGTGCAATAAAATTGAATCATAAAACCATCCTTTAATCATCTCTTGAAACCAAAGTGTCATAAATACAGGAAATATACAAAGGATGTGATACTCTCTCACACACTTAAAATATATTGAGTGATGATTATGGGCAGGCGAAGTATAGGTTTACCCAAAACTCTGTACAAAATTTTGACTACTGGTAGCATAATTTTTAATTTTTTGTTTTTGTAAACTTGTAGCTGGCCTGCATTTCTTTGCAAATTATTTCAAAATATTTATATAACATATTCACTAATACCATTACCATGCTTTGTATATAACAAGCCTGATTAAAAATCTGCAAATCAAAAATGATGTCTTTGATATTCCTTTCAATTTTGAACTGGACAGTAGTGTGTTTAGAGCCATAAGGATTACTGTAGGTCTGTGTTAAAGTAAATGTTAACATCCTTCTGGCTCCAAATAGAAAGACAAACAAAAAAATATGAGAAAAGATAGGAATAGTTTGTGATACTCAAGTTTGTCTTCTCTTCAGATTGATACCGGTACTCAAAATATATCTCATCCTTTCTCCATGTGATAAAATATCCCACAAAATTTATGATCATCTGCATGGAACTTGCCATTTTTATGTTCAGCAAATTCATTACCCATTAATCATCCAAATGGAGAGAAAGATTATTGAATATATTGACTATAAAACTGAAAGTGGCTTTATTTTCAGCTGTTTAATCACTCCCACACTTAGCACTCACATACATTATGCATACACGACTTGAAAATTATAACTTTATTTTAACCCTTGGAATTCAAGATTCAAGATTCAAGATTCAAGATTTTATTGTCCATAATATAATACAAAAATTTGTTTTCCATTGGTATCACAGAGAGTACAAACAAAACTCAATCACAACTACTCATCTGCATATTAAGGTCAACATGTCTTGTTTTAAATCCTGAAAGTCTTAGCTGCCTACACATCCTGTGACACATACTCCTTCATTGTCTACTCTTAATCTTCAATACTTCATATAATTTCCCTGGCTTTGCAAAGTTCAATGTTGGGATATTATTCAGACATCTGAGGACTTAGAAGTAACTTAAGAGAACCCTAGCAATTCAGAATGGAGGACCATTTCATTAAATTGCAATATTACCATCCCCCCTCCCCCTCGTCCCCCTATTAAAAGGTACATTTATAATACACCCTGTATGTTTGTATGGGGTTTAGAGTGATCTTCCACCTATTTTTTGATCAACCAACATAATTGTCTGACCAGCATAATTATTGATGTGACCTTTAAATCTGAAATGAAACATCTTTTTCTTTCAAGCTGCCTGTCATCTAGGGTCTCATGCACATGAAGGCTTAAACCCTAAGCAATAATTCCTAATCTTTGTATCTACCGCAGAATCAAAAAGTTCAGTGTCTAATCATTCTTCATTCAAACATGTGATACTTAGTTCATAAGTCATCAAAGACAAGGCTTACTGGAAAACAAGAAAGCAGGAATATTTCATCAAGATTCAGGCTAAATTCAAACTATACTATACTATACAGAGAGCAGAGTCTTAAAGGGATCCGGTAACTTTGTCTCAGATTCTGAAACAAAATTCTGGATTTAGCTCATGATGCAATGATAATTATAAACCTTTAGGTCAGTCAGGAAACCCATGACTTTTACAAGCCGATCGCCTGTCTGATTATCAAGATATTTATGATTGGAATTACAAATTTTGAAAACCGTTCGCCTGACGATTTTCATAACACTACAGTCTATTGGGGAAAATGAGTATGGTAAAACCGGTCACTCAAAGATTTTTACTTTTTTGAGGCACTTCTTGATCATTTTGGAGCGCAATTTTTTTAGGGCTTCAATATTACACCATATCACAGACACTGATAACACGTAGGGCCGTGTATCTCAGATTTAACATTGTTAAACGATCCCTTTAAATGAGATGTAAGAAATAAAGCGGTAATCTTCCTATCTATCGGAGGCTCAGCATAGTCCAGTGTCATATCATTCTTTATTCAAACATCTAATACATGTACATAAGTCATGAAAGACAAGGCCTACTGGAAACAAAAAAGCGGGATTCAAGCTATTCAAACTAAACTTTACAGAGAAATAAGTCGAAAATGAGACGTGAGAAATCAAGTGGTAATCTTCATATCTATCCAAGGCTCAGCATATAGCTCAGCATCAAATTATTCTTTGGCAGTCTGAGGACACACGAGTCACTCCTAAGGGATGATCTGGTATTCATGTATGTACAACGTTATGTAGTTAAGTTCACTCTTCATAACATGCTGAGGACTGGAGCTACCCCAAATGATGTATGCGGCGGTTTCAAATTTCATTTTAACTGTCATACCATCTATAATGATTGATATTTTTTTCAGATAGTGCCATTGAATTTAAGATATCATATGAAAAATTGAAGGGGGAAAATCAGAGGGAAAATATATCGTAGCTTATAGCTTAAAGATACTATGTCCCTTTTGCAGCCACCATCAGATTCTGTAGAACTTTGCAGGAATTATGAATATGTCATGTATGTCCTATCTGTGAAATTTAAACGTTAGCAGTGTCCTAATGTTCAAATTATGCAAGAAAACCTGTTTACTTGCTAGACTTCACTGTCAGACACTATTGAGTGACTGACTGGCTTTTTTCTTCTTCTTTGGTAATAACATACATACAATGAGCTGCAGGGCCTAAAGGGTACATGAGCATTTGTCTACATCAATAACCCACTTCTTGTAATGGCCAAAATTAAACTGATTGAATCTTTGCGCAGCATAAAACGTACAACCATTTGGTACAATGGTCTGAAAATCAGACTATTACTTACTGGCTCTATAGCTCTTAAGTCGATTCAACAATTAAAAGTCGTTTTTTCCCCACTTAAAGACCTTGTCAAACCCCACCATTTTTAGGGAAGTTCTGAATTAATGCCGTTTGAAATTTACCTTTTCATTTTTGGGGCCTGCAAATGGGACATACCGTAGTACCTTTAAAGGGATCGTTTAACAATGTTAAATCTGAGATACACGGTCCTATATGTTACCAGTGTCTGTGATATGGTGTAATATTGAAGCCCTAAAAAAACGCGCTTCAAAATGATCAAGAAGTGCTCAAAAAAGTAAAAATCTTTGAGTGACCGGTTTTGCCATACTCATTTTCCCCAATAGACTGTAGTGTTATGAAAACCATTCAGCGAACGGTTTTCAAAATTAGTAATTCCAATCATTAATATCTTGATAATCAGACAGGTGATCGGCTTGGAAAAGTCATGGAGTTCCTGACTGACCTAAAGGTTTATAATTATCATTGCAGCATGAGCTAAATCAAGGATTATTTCTAAAGGATCTACGACAAAGTTACCGGATCCCTTTAAATGAGCAGTATTCGAGGGTAAAATTTTGAAAATACCGGTAGTGGCCTCAGACTTTAAATTTACTGGTATCTTCAATGTCAATAGACAGACAAGGTTTTACATAGTTTCATAACCACGAGTACATCCACAATTAAGGGTCCCCTAGAAGATCAAACAAAGTTTATAACCACAACCTTAACTTCAAATAGACATACTGCTGTGTTAATCTCCCTATAGGCATGGATAATGAACATGGATCATTAACATGTGGCAAGAGCAGGGATAATCAATCACGCAGTTAAGAGTTAATAAATACTTGTGTATCAGCACATGGGTTAGGACAGGGGGAAGCCACATACCGTGAATGACTGTTAATTCATTTAACCTTCAACTTTTAGAGTTAGATATGGATACAAAGTCACTCTTGGGTAGTTACGTTACACACATATATGCCGAGCCCCATTTTGTATATGTTTATATTTTTAACTTGTTTTAATCTATCGATCGATCGATCGATCAAAAAAGGTTGATCATCTAGCATATAAGTATTGGTGTGTATACTGCAAGGTTCTGGAATCATCAAAAAGATAAAAAATATGGCCCAGTCTTCGTAAAGTTACAAGCACTGTACACAGAAAGATGTATATGGGACTGTACGCACACGTGCGCGACACATGCGTTTATCTCTCACAGACCATGTAGATAAACTAATTTACCAAATATATCAATTAGTAGGCGGTTTCCCGGCAAAATTTTTATCATCACGTATTAGTCAAAACATATTCTTTCACATGATTGGAAATAAGAGCTTTCATTTCATTTTTTGAAATTGGTGCGTTTCCAATACTGGTCTTTACCTTTAACATACATGTATGTCTCATTGGCTTGCTTGGCATACAGCTATAGTCAGCGTGATGGTTCAGTGGTAGAGCAGTGGTTTCGTAACCAGGAGGTCCCGAGTTAGAAACCAAATCGATTTGCTAGTGCAGTTTGGTAAGGCATTAATCCTCATTACCAAGTCCAGACTTGACAACATCTTGAGTTCAAAAACTCTCAAAAGTTGTATTTTACTGACAAAAATTGTATTAATAAAACAAACACTGATCAATGCCTCTTACAGTTCCTACATACAGGGAAAAAAAAATGTTATGGATCATTGGTTGAATATACATGATTTCGCTATGACTGGTGTGTTCGATGAACCAATGAACATTCCCAAATTGCCGATATGAGGTGCTTGTAGGATACTTTACATGACAGAATGGGCATTTTGCCATTGAAAATGGCAAACACACACACAAACTACAACTAAAAAAAAATAAAAAATAAAAAATAAAAAAATGACTTCTAAAATATGATTAAATCGTACTGGTAGGCGGCTCTGCAAGTCCCTCAGAGAGGGCCAAACAGAATGGGCAGAATGGGCATTTTGCCATTGAAAATGGCAAACACACACACAAAATACAACTAAAAAAAATAAATAAATAAAAAATAAAAAAATGACTTCTAAAATATGATTAAATCGTACTGGTTGGCAGCTCTGCAAGTCCCTCAGAGAGGACCAAACACTGTCAGGTCCCCTTGTTGCTTACTTACAGCAAAAACATGCAAACCAAACAAACAAACAAACTCACCTTTGCTGTTCTCCACCATTTTCTAAAATCTGATCAATTTTGACTTGGGTTTTCTGATCCCCGCTGGACTTCTTGAGTTGGTTGAGTTGTGACCTCATGTAGTACCAGATCTCTGTCACTCCATTATCCACTTTTCTTCTAATCTTCTCATAGGCGTTCGAGGGCTCCGACCCACAGTACTGTTGATTGGAATCCGAGTCTGAAAAAGAAGATTATTCATCTGTAATTAGTCATTATGAAACAATTACTGATTACTGGCCCTGTCTTACAAGGAGTTGATATCAATCACAATTTATTGGCGATTGAAATCAATCGCAACTACCTACAATTGAGATAGGAGACTGCAAACTTACACTTGATTGGAGGACTTACGATTAGTTTGGATTGATCGTAACTTTTTGTAAGAAGGGGCCCTGGTCTAACTAAATTAAATTTGTCACTACATTGTCAATATGATGTAATTAACGTTGTTGAATTATATTTAATTATATACCTCACTTAAGTAATCCAGCCATCTGATTGGTCGAAATTGCATTCATAAACTTCAACTGTTCCTGTAAAATTCCCGGTAACCATGCTTAAAACATTTAATATTTTTAATAACCATGGTTATTAAAAAAATAGGTCAGTCTCCATGGTTACCCCATAGGTTTACATGTTAAAAAATGGTTTGAGCGATGGAGGATACCGTATGTGTGCGAATAATTGGTCGGTAATTTCAATACAATTGAATCTCGATCGATCTTACCGACAATTTTATCTTGCATTGTTGACATGAAGACGAAAATAAACTTCCAAAAACAAAAAAACAACATCTGCCGATAGATCTTGATCTAAGTTCGCCAATATGCATTGCAAAAGTAAAAGAAGAGTCCGTATATGGAGCTTTTGCGAATCATTCACCACACGCAAAGCCGGTTTCAATCCATTTTAATGTATATATAGTACAAAACTGCCAAGCATGTTAATAACGCGCGATGGCCGAGAGGTCTGAGGCGCTAACTATAATTACATCACCTTTTGTACGCAAGAGTTCGAATCTCATCTTGGACCAAAAAAAAAAGTATTTTTTATTTTTTATTTTTTAGTCTATTTTTTTTCGGCATATAAAAGTATTAATGACTGCTTTAATATTCGAGAAATAGTTGTTTTTATACGCTCTCGGGAAGGTTACAATTGGGCTATTCCCCTCGGCACGCCTCGGGTAATAGCACAATTCTAACCTTCCCTTGAGCGTATAAAAACAACTATTTCTCTCAAAGCAGTCATTAATACTATATTATGTTAAATTATTTTTATTCAATGCCTTGAGCATCTCTTGGGGTGGATATGTGCGCATTATAAATGTTGTTATTATATTATTATTATTATTATTGTCAACATTCCTGTTCATTTTTTTATCTTTTAATTTTTAGTCTGGGGGGACTCAGACCCACTTTCCAACAAAAAGTGAATAAGAAATTAAGAATATCCTAAAAGAAATGAAGATTGTCATAAAGTTAACATGAAGAGAATATCATGTGTGACTGTAATGTATTCATGAATGTAAGACTGATTACAAGATGGAAGTTTTCTGATGGAAAATAATTACCTACCGGAAGTCTAAATTATCCATAACCCTATCTTATGATGGCGAACTTTACCTTAGTAAGTATCATTCTAAAAAATCGTAATGCAGCATGTGTGTTTTTTAATCCTTTTCTTTTTATTGTGTTTAATCTGCAAAATCAATTCTACAAAATATTGCTATCCAAAATAACACTTATGATTCGCTATTATAGGTTACAAACAGTAGTTGGTGTCTTTAATTTCAGTCTATTAGGCTCAAACATCTACAGCTATTTCTTGCTAATTGCTACAGTGTATTTGTATCAAAATAATGATATTTGTTATAAAATAACGAATTTCTAATTTACTACAAGTGACTATGAAGAAAAATACCATACACACGATAATTAGGCCCATGCCATGCCCAAGGGCTATTTAGGCTCCCCTTCTTTATCAAAAGGCCACTGTCCTTCATAACCATGATCATGACACATAGAGTTTTTATTATTTCTTGGACATAAATTATACATGTAAAGCACTTAGAGACATCATAGATGTATTAAGCACTATACAAAAAAGGAGAATTATTATTATTATTATTATTGCAGTCATTTAGAGTCATAAAGAGCTTCATTAGTCCATTCAATATCTATAAGTATTAAAACGTGTTAAAAACTACACAGATGTACTTGGAAACAATGCCTCCCAATCCATTACTTTTGGTTCATTAAATAAATCAATAATTTCACTCGCTACCTGCAAAAGAGATCAAAAATGCACAGATGATCATAGAATTAGACAAAACATTATTGATGGCTGGCCAGTTTGGAGCCTACTTAAATTGGCTTGAAAAACCAATTATACAGGCCTATTGATTAGCATTGTTATATGTATACTTTCTAAACTGTAGATGGTTGATCTATTTGACATTGCCAAAGCTAATACTTTTATTATTCACTTATTTGCACAATGAAGCTTCCATACTGTCTAATAGACAAAAAGGGTAGTTTTTCATTACACACACACCAAATTTGTTCATTTTTACTATTAAAAGCTTCAAGATGAGTAGACTTCATACTTTATTGTTTCTGCATATTCGTAGTGAATGATTAAAAGTAAAGACAAAGAGGAATAAAACCTTTTGAATAATGAACATGCTATGCTTGTTAAGCCAATTAGAATTTAATACGTAGGAATAAGCCTACTGTACAACTTGGTTGAATTATGCCTGTAACTTTACAGTAGCTAATGTAACCAATCAAACTGTTTACTGTGCAGTACCAGCACAAAATATTGTATGAAATTGTTTTTAATCAAATTACCTTGTACAATTAGTCAATTACCTGTACCGTATGTCTTTCTAGGACAATTTCTACTGTGACAAGTACCACTCAAGTGAATGATGTTCATAAATTGATAATTTTCTTTGGTTATAAAGAGAAGTTCATGTAATGGATATTGCATGTGATGTGTGTTTGATAAAGATACTTTGTTTATAATTTACAATACTGATAGGCCTCATTCATTTTTTTGTGTGTGGACCAATATCATATATTATAACTTGTAACAAGATTACAAATTTCAAATGAATTCCAAAAACGGTATGAATTTCTATATTCTTTAGTGTCATAACATGTGTAGTATTTGGACCAACTTTTAAGGAATTTCAGCATAATTAATCAGTGAAAAATGACATTTAACCCACGACCACTGAGTTCTCTCCTAGTCAATGGAGTAATAGTAGGAGGGCATTTGCTTTTGTTCCACATTAAATCATTATTGAGTATTCTTTTTTTTTTCTTTTTTTTTCAATTGATCTGATATAAAGCATACTTCTTCTGTTGAGACTTGAGAGAGTCAGGAAGGCATTAATTCTGTGCCAAATGATAGGAGTTAAAACCCTTCTAAATTAATAATAATAATGATAATTAAACTCCTTTTTGTAGCACATAATACATGTACATACATTGTATGCATGTCTCTATGCACTTTACAGAACAGTATACAGAAGGAGCGAAAATAATGGTGCACCGGATTCATAATTGTGAGATTATACAAAATGCTAAATAAGTATGTTCTCAAATTACTGCTGAACTTTTCGTATGGTTCTATATTTCTAAGGTATTCCGACAAGTTATTCCATAAAACAGTGGCTGCATGTGAAAATGACCTTTCCTGTAAGATTTTGTCATAGTATTTTGGACATATCAAAAAAAGACTTTTCACTGGAACGCAGCAAACAGTTTGTGCTATTAAAAACAGCCTACACCCCATTTTAATGTAGGGTATTTGTATGCATGATATATCAAATGACGGATATCAAATCCTCTGTTAGTGTTGCTCCAAAGCATTAATACCCCCAAATCATTACAGTAATGTTTGTAATGTGTCGCCAAGGAAACTGTGTTGGTAAGGGGATCAATAAATTACATTGCATCTGTATCTGTCATGGATTGATTGATGATATATTCCTAGCAAATTAGTTTCTCATCACATATCACATGCATACTGTATATAACTATATATAGTTCTCCAACACTAGGAAAACATCATTGAAAGTGCAATGAAAGGAGGAGGGAAAAGAAATGTCATTTAAAAATAGCATGAAACTAGACAACAGGTGAATAAATCAGATCAGGAAAGCTCCAATAGAGCACTGATAAAACTTAAAACTGAATAGATGTAAATTGACAAATTGATATAATGAAATCCCACTTACATAATAGAAAAGAAGCACATACTGTATGCAGTAAAAACAGCTCCCTCAACATGACTGCAAATACTTTCTAAGAAATCAACTTATGTGCAATTTTAATATCATATTGTATTACCTACAGAAATCATCAAATAATATGTAATTGTCATGTTTGTAAATCGATGTTGTATTCAAGGCCCAAACCCAGAAAGGCTAAGGCTTTAACAAGCAAGACCAGGCCAAGGCATAAATAAATAAATATAAAAAATATCAATTCATACAATGCATACAATACCCCCTATCTTTAGCTGATTTTCCTGTTGTGTGCCTGGAGTGATTTATCACATTTTGATAAAATTGTACAATATGGGACCATTCTCTTTTAACTTCATCCAAAAGTTTTGTTATTCTATAAATACAAATGATTAATGGTTGATCTTTGTAGTTGTGTACCCAACCTATTTCTATGGAGCTGCATATTCAGGTCAAGGCTATAAAACCCTGCATTAAAACACAATTTCTTTCAAATTGCTTTGGCAAGAGTTGGTTATTTGTACTGCTTATTTATTCACAATTGGTGTGAATTTGAATAGAAACTGTTTCAATGTTTGTTTTCACCATTACCAGAACTAGAGCGTATCTTTAACATTCAGGTTACAACAAGAAGATAAAAGGGTGAACAGCAATTCCCTTGAAAAGAAGGTCTCTTTACGAGTTGTACAAAACTACTGAACATGTCATACGGGTACCGGTATACAACAGAACTACAGCATCCAGTTTAATAGAAAATCTATAAATTCTATAAGTACATATACATTTCCATGAAAGAAATATCTCATCGTAAATAGCATTGACACCATTCAAATGTAATTTTTTTCTGTCCATCACCAATTCGCTTCATTTCACTATAACAAAAACCAGTCTACAAGTACATAATCCCTTGAGTAAAAGTTTTTGTCTTTCAAATCCAAAGATTTACACTCTTAATCACAATTTCATTTATTTCAATTACATTAATCTGAGATCTGATTCGACTGTGACGGATTACATACTGTACAAATCAACAATTGTATGTACATTAGTTGCACAGCAAAAAGGGTGACCCTACGCGTGCTGCAGCAAAATCGAAGCAGCGTGCGACTAATTATTTGGCACGAATCAAGGATGCACAGCCCCATTGTAAAACAGCTTAACAGCCGAACTGGGCTTTTACCAAATCAAATCAAATCAATTAAACTTTTACTGCCGAGGCTGAGTGCCACCTGTGTGGGCAAAGGATGTGCCCTTCCTTTGACCCTGATAAAAATGTACCCTGTGTGCCCTGTGCGCCCAAAATGGTAGCTTGGTATAAATAGTTTTGTCCCTGAGCAATATGTGATCACAGCAAATGAAACAGAAGTAGGGAAAGATTTGTTTCACGTTACTCTGGTGCAGTCCAAACTCTGTGCAGCACACAAACACAATACAAACCTACTGTATACATGCATTTCATCCAGTGATATCTTTAAAAATGTAAACAAAATGCAGAAATGAGATAACAATTTTTGAAGCTGGTCAAGTCAGTTTGTGTACAATGCATGTAGCCAGCTGCTCTGCCTGTTGAATTTACAGATTTTGAAAAAGGAATACATTGATTTTCACATTTTGTGGTCTGGATAAAGAGACCGGTTTACTAACATGTCGTCACCTTCTTAAAATAATGGCCCAAGTCATATTCTCCAGTTTTGAGAAAAACACAGAAAACTGAACCAAACATCTCTGGTTCTTGTCCTGGATAAATAATCCAAGTATTATACGATAATGCGGGATTCCGCATTGCGTCACTTTATTGGTCTCTCTCTCTTCTCTCTCTCTCTCTCTCTCTCTCTCTCTCTCTCTCTCTCTCTCTCTCTCTCTCTCTGCTGTCTGCCGGTCATTTTTATTTTGATCCTTTTCTTTTCATTTCATTCCATCTCACCTTGTCAGACAAGTTCAAAGTTGATAATAATCTGTCTTTGAGTACTTGTATCTGAACTCCGAAACCACAGCAAAAAATGATTAAATTGTGGTATGGAAAATCATCATGTCAAATGACACCTTGTAAGTGGTGCTATATATACATCATATCAACACCAAAAACAAACAGGAAGAATGAGCAAAGATTTGCATTTCCCTCACTCTACGACTTAGCCCGAATCCCATAAATTTGCATGCTTTCAGTACATGATGTACACTCGAGTTAACATTGTATGGTTATGAATCAATACATCCTGCTAATTGGGGCAAGAATACATACATACATATTGATTTGAATGAATGAAAATATGACAAATTTAATGACTGAACTCATGCAATCAATAGTATTCAATAGTATTTTTCATTTAAAAAATTCTTGCTCGATTAAGAAAGAAAGAAAAAAGACAAGTACACACAAAAATACAAAGATTAAATATTCACAATTCTGCAATACTGACCTGATCCCTGCTGCCTCGTATCCTGAATTTTTCCTTTACTTTCCTTTTCCATTCTCGATATAATTTCTTCGGCATCTTTTAATTTGTTTCTCATGTAATCTACTCCTCCATCATTAGCACCATTGTTAGATGAACTAGCTACAAGGTCTCTGAAAAATGAAGAAATAAATATATGATAAATGAAAATACTTAAAATGAATGTTATGATACTATCTAAAAAGACCAAACACTCCCAAAAGAACCAACAAAGATATCGTGACCGGTAATATTCAACGCATGCCTTATTACAAAAGGCAGTCTAATATTTCAAAAGTCTGCATTTTTCAATGGTAACATAGAGTACGACAAAGAGGGATGTACTCCAATGGAAGAAGAAGAAGAAATACTATGTCATTACCATGCTATTATGATTAATTTCATTGATATTCACAACGAGCATGATTAAGAGTTTGTTATGGTATTATTGACAGTATTTCTTATAAAATTTCTTCCAAAATGATTATAAGTGGAGGGAAGCGGGGGACCCGAATATTCCATCTTTCTCAATGAAAGGCTGGCCGCAAAGAAAAGGGTGACGAACGTGTGGGAACTCTTCGTTTTTATCAGAAGCTTTTGAAAATGAAGGAGTAAAATGGTCGGACAAGTGAAGTGAGGGGGAAAGGGGAGGGGGGGGGGGGGAGAGAAGAAATGGATGGATTATTTTTTTGGGGGGGGGAGAGAAGAAATGGATGGATTATTTTTTTTGGGGAGGGGAGAGAACAAATGGATAGATTTTTTTTTGGGGGGGGGGGAGATGGATGGGAAAGAAAGCAGGAAACAAGAAAGGAGGGATGAAAGGAGGGATGAAAGGAGAGATGAAAGGAGAGATGAAAGGAGGGATGAAAGGAGGGATGAAAGGAGAGATGAAAGGAGGTATGAAAGGAGGGATGAAAGGAGAGATGAAAGGAGAGATGAAAGAAGATATGAAAGGAGGGATGAAAGGAGAGATGAAAGGAGAGATGAAAGGAGAGATGAAAGGAGAGATGAAAGGAGAGATGAAAGGAGAGATGAAAGGAGAGATGAAAGGAGAGATGAAAGGAGGGATGAAAGGAGGGATGAAAGGAGAGATGAAAGGAGAGATGAAAGGAGAGATGAAAGGAGAGATGAAAGGAGAGATGAAAGGAGAGATGAAAGGAGGGATGAAAGGAGAGATGAAAGGAGAGATGAAAGGAGAGATGAAAGGAGAGATGAAAGGAGAGATGAAAGGAGAGATGAAAGAAGGGATGAAGGGGAGATGAAAGAAAGACAGGCAGATATCATACTTTAATTCTTGAGTATGTTTCTTCAGTTCTTGATATTGTTGCCTGACGTTGACGAGCTCCTTGGCAAGATTCTCCAGCTCGACAGACTTGATACGTCTTTCTTCAGACTCCATGGGAGGGAAGAAGGACGTGGTGAGGTAGATCAGACTAACCAGCCAGGCTAGCCCCATGACCAGCCCCACCTTATATGGGGTCCTCATGGTGAACACCTCTCGGCCTCTCACACTCCGTCAGCCAACCGGTCGACGCTAACTTTTGAATTCAAAGCTGTAGAGATTAAATGAGAAAATAATTCAATATTAGTACTTTTGTAGGGGTCCTATGTGCATCAGGTAAAGATCTAGGGTATGTAAGTTTTATTTGTTTTGAGAGAGATTATTAAGAACACAAAATCAAAGCTAGCATTCATTTGTAAACACATAGACACTTACCGGTACACGTGTCCAACATGTACAGAATATACACATCGCTTGTCAGTGTTAAAGATAAAGACCAGTTCTGGTCATGCGATTGCATTGTGAAAGAAACGTTATGGAATCGATCAGAAAAGGTTGATCATGTAGCATATAAGTATTGGGGTGTACTGCAAGGTTCTGGAATCATCAAAATGATAAAAAAAATTGGCCCAGTCTTGATAAAGTTACAAGCACTGTACACAGAAAGATGTACAGTATATGGGACTACCCCCACACATGCGCGACAAGTGCGTTATATCTATCAGGTCCAAATAGATATAATAATTTACCAAATATATCAATTAGTAGGCGGTTTCTCAGCAAAATTTGTATGATCACGTATAAATCAAAACATTCTTTCACATGATTGGTAATAAGAGCTTCCATTTCATTTTTTGAGAGGGGGGCGTTTCCAAAAACTGGTCTTTACCTTTAACAAGCTTATGAAGCTTGAACACCTGCTCAGCTGTACCTACTACTACTAGAATTGGCTTCAATAGCTTTTGTGTGTATTAGCAGGTGGGTACGGGGTAACCTGGCCAGACTTGCCGGCTTCAGCCGCCGAGTCTAGCTGCGGTTCTCATGAATCGGAACCGTACCACACCGAAAATCTCATCAATTTGCAGTAGGGGCGCTGGAAGTATCGTCCGCACAAACGAGGATCGTCTTCGTAAACACGGACAAACACATTTTCGCTGACGATTCTAAATTCCGATCCGCGCATTGGCGATGCAAAAAAAGGTTTCCCCTATGATTTTCTTGATGCATTTTACGTTGACTTTGTACAGAGACATTCACGTTATGGGCAATAAATTCTCGGGAAGACAGACAATTAAAAGCAGACAGTGAACTGGGGGTATTTTATTGCGCGTAATCTACTTTTGGCATCAAAATCCACAGAGCGCCGAAGAATTCTGTCTGCGTAGACTCTATACAAGGATATCCTCGTTTATGCGACAATCCTCTTTCTTGGACCAGCGCCACGCGCCCCTAAATAAAGAGAGAACTTAAACAAAATTAACTTAAATACTTCTGCGTTCATTCTTTGAACAATATAATGGAAGAAAATACGGTTGCCATCAAATTCTTTAAAAAGTTTGAGAACACTTGAACTTAACAAGTTCACCATACTGATTGATGATAGATCTGACTAGGCTCCTACTAGTCTAGAGAAGAGTCACTACCTTTGCACGTTAAGAACCCACTCCACTATTCATATACAAGAGTAGGGGAAAACCCCGGTGTAGTGGTCCACCTGCACACACCCCCAGTATAGTACGATAATACTCTGTCAAGCTCAAGAGGTAAGGGAGAAGAAGAAGAGTCTACGATTTGTACAATCACAGAAGTCAACACGTCGGACTAAAAATAAGACACTATCTCGGCCTTCCGGGATAACCATATGATGCACATATTCACGGAGCTCCAAGTCCATGCATTCAAGAATTTTCTAACAATAATAACATTGTCCACAATACTTACAGTCCAAGCGTGATCACCGAGATATGAACTTATCATAAAAATTCATAAAACGCCCACGGCCACGGTCGTTTCGCTCACAAACATGAAGGGGCCGGAGAGGGACGGACAGGAAGATACGGTACAGGAAGATGGTGAAATATTGTACATCAATCTATGCCACATGCACGTAGTACGTACCGGTACGGGGCCGGTTGTACGCTAGTATTAGTGCTTCGCATAGCGCTTCGCATCAATAGTTAGCGCTTCGCATCACTAACGCAATGTGATCCTAAATATAAAGCTTGCAAAAAAAATAAAAAATTAATGATAATCTACAATAATACAAAAACTTATTATATCGACCGACAGCTCGACATATCCATTTAGAAGTTTAGACTGTATCTGTAACAGAAGCGGCGCTCTTGCGTAAGTTGGGGGGGGGGGCACGATACCCCATTTACTTCAGATAACTTGTGCCCCTTTTCCTTTTGTAATAAGAGCCCCTTCCCATTTCTTATAATTACCATTTTTTATACCTTTGTTTAATGTTAAATGCCCCTTTCCCTTTTGTAACAAATGCCCATTTCCCCCCTTCTTAAAAGTGCCCATTCTTACCTCGTATTATGTTCCTATAATTTACTTTGAGTGCAGCTGATAATTACCCCTTTTACTTGACAGTTGCCCCTTTTCCTTTTAAATAATTGCCCTTTCCCTTCTGATAAGGGCCTCTTTTCCCTTTCTGATAAGTAAGCTACCCTGATCGATTTTCCGTTCTTACAATGCCCCGTTTCACCTTTGATAAGTAACCCTTTAAAATTCCCCTTGTTACGGTATTAACCATTTGATAAGGGCCCCTTTTTAACTACCTTCTTCCACTGTCGCTTATAAATTTTGCCCTTTTGTGGTCATCAAAAGAGGCCAATCTAGTTTCAAAGAATCGGAGGGATTCCATGTTATTTAGTATTCCCCTACTCATAAAAATGCTTTTAGGTCAGTTTCAATACGAAATATTTTAATTTTATCTCATTTATTCATGTATTTGACAAGCTCAAAACATTGTAAAAATGAATAATCTACGTAATTGTTTTTTTTTTGTAGTGTTACATGAATTACTTTATTCGAAAAAAATGAGGTAGGTCAAATCCAAGTGGTCAAAATAATATGACTTATGGTTTTGGAAAACTTTACATGTACTTATGCGATTACAAATTCACTGTTATAACCTTCTTTTATAATCAGAATGTCTCCATTTACACTCCTTTGATAGAGGACAAAGTTCCTCAGGTAGACAAAGGAACAGGTATCACATGCATATTCACCTGTTCTACTCATTTAGTGAAGGGATGTTCTACCACAGCAATTGTTGAGGGTAGATTTGTCCTCTTTCTTTGTCCGTCATGTTTATAGTGTCATTACACCTATTTTATTCCCTAATTAAACGTTCCTTTTGTTCAAAAAAAATGTGACCCCTATTTTTCTTTACTTTGTCAAAATTTCCGGTCATTCTTTTGTAGTGTATTTTAATGCCGTTATGTTGCTTGGGTTCACATGATGTCAAACCTCCATACTTTGTAAAGAGAGCATTAATTGTATACATATATTTCAACTTATGACAATGGTCATAGTGTCAAAGTGACGGAAAACTCGCTGACATAACTTCTCCGCTCAAATCTCTTTCAGATCCAGTTAGAAATAAACCCTTATAGTTTTAGTAGAGTGTTCAAAAGGAATTTAATACAAAAATATATGTCTACTACAGGTTAAACTTCTCACATCTCCCCTGTTTCTCTCTCTCTCTCTCTCTCTCTCTCTCTCTCTCTCTCTCTCTCTCTCTCTCTCTCTCTCTCTCTCTCTCTCTTTCTCTCTTTCTCCCTCCCTCCGTCTTCTTCTAACTTCTGTTGTGTGCAGCTTTGTTTTTTTTATCTTGTTTTGTCCTGTCATGTCCTTTTGTGTGTCTTGTCCCATCCTGTCCTGTTTATCTTGTCGTGTTATGACTTGTTTTTGCATGTCTTGTCTTATCCTTTTATGTAATTTTCCTGTCCTTTGTGTCCCGTTTTGTCATTCTTTTCTTCTTGTATTTTTTTTTTGTTGGGGGGGGGGGGATTATTTAGATACTTTAAAATGGTTTACGAAAATATGTTATTATATTATATCTATTTTACTGTGATTATTAAGACACTTTAAAATGATTTATGATAATAATGTTCATATTATTATTCTTTAGAACCTACAAAAACAAGCTATGCTTTACAGTAGGTTCCTGTTTCATTTCATAATTTTGATCTTACTTTGTCAACTATACTCTTTATTGTGCAAACAATTGTTATATGAAATGAAATAAAATCAATCAATTAATCAATCAATCAATGTCTAGGAGTGGAAATACAATTACTATAGGCATCTCTTCGTTTTGAAGTGACGTTAAAAATGGAATCCATTCTCAAAATAGTGCTCCAAGCTATTACTTTGAAGTGGAGTCAATTATATATTTAAGTGGAATTAAAAAGTGTCTCATAAGACTCCTAAATGAGTGGATATCCATCCACTCCTCATCAAGAGTCATTGAAAATTGTGGATCATAGAATCAATTGCTATATTTTCGGATGGAGAATAGCGCCATCTCTGTCCAATGTAAGATAACCTTTGACTTGACGTACAGTTCGGTAGAATGAATCTGACAATAAAGCAATGTCAAACAAACAAGAAGGCCACTACCCGAACGAAAACTTGTGTTCAACATGGATTTCATTGCAATCAGCCCTTCCAAAAAAAGGTGATGCTCCCTCTATGTTAGTCTTGGAACTCTCTGCAACTACACTGAATTTGATTTTGAAGATTTTCAAAGTTTTTCTCCCATTATAATGTTTATAGACCTCTTGTTTTAATTCAGAAGTGTACTTCGCCGCTATTTCTATATTTCATTTCCATTAATTTAAAAATATTAAACAACAGTGCTTAATTCAGATATTATTATTCGTCAATTTCGTAACCGTGAACAAGCTAACTAATATAAATATTGTTATTAACTCAGAGAAATGCTGATATAATCTTATAGCCACAATGCGTTGTATACAAATAGAATTAAAACAATCCCTTTTAGTAAAGGGACCAAAATGATAATAAGCTGCAATTGACAACACAAGAAATTAACTCCGGATCAAGTACTGTCTTCACATGATACATCTGAGCCCCCTCCCTTCCCCCACCAAGAATTTGTTTATATGAATGAGGATGATTTTGATTGCCAAAGGTCGTACGATCATGATTTTGATTGCCAAAGGTCGTACGATCATGATTTTGGTGTGCTAAGCATGAAAATTAAGCTAGAGTAATTTGTCAAAGAATCGACATTAAATTGGAGGTGGATAAAATCATGTCCATCAAGCTACATGGGAATGAAATTGATGATGATGATGATGATGATGATGATGATGGTGATGATGGTGCTGATGATGATGATGGTGATGATGGTGCTGATGATGATGATGATGATGGTGATGATGATGATGATGATGATGATGGTGATGATGATGATGATGATGATGATGATGATAATGGTGATGATGGTGCTGATGATGATGATGATGATGATGATGGTGATGATGATGATGATAAAGGTGATGATGGTGCTGATGATGATGGTGATGATGTTGATGATGATGATGATGATGATGATGGTGATGATGATGATGATGATGATGGTGATGATGATGATGATGATGATGGTGATGATGGTGATGATGATGATGATGATAATGATAATGACAATGATGATAATGATATTGAATACAATAATACTAGTATAGTAATCTATTTTCGCATCGGTATTCTACAGAAAAACACGTCATTAGAAACAAACAATTTTGACTGATGGCCTGTGTGACCTTTTAGGTGGGCGTTTATCAGGAACGTGATAATGATAATTGCTTATAATTCCATCCTCCGTCCTCCTCTTATCCTCCCTTCTCTCTCTCTCTCTCTCCCTCTCTCTCCCTCTCTCTCTCTCTCTCTCTCTCTCTCTCACTCTCTCTCTCTCTTTCTCTCTATATAATTTATCTGTCAATCTCCATCTCTTCTGTTTTCTTTACATCCACTTTGTTTATTAATTAAATAGATTTCTCTCATTTATTTTAACCCTCTTTTCCCACTTTGTCCCTGTCACTCTGTTCTCTCCACCCATCTCTCCTCTTCCCCTCTATATTTCTCAACCCCCCTCCCCCTCCCCCTCCCCTCTCTCTCTCTCTCTCTCTCTCTCTCTCTCTCTCTCATCATCATAAGATTTTCTCTATTTATCTCCCTCGATCACTCTGTCTCTCCCCTCCCCCTCTTTATCATCCGTTTCCTTTTTACTTCCGGATACTATAAATCACCACCCCTGCCTTTCTCCGACCACCCCTACTCTTTTTCTAGTCCACGATCTCCTTTCTGTTGGCTTTATTTGTTGTTGTCTCGTTATTTTTCCCTCCTTCTTTCTTTCTGTTCACATCCTTCTTTATGTTGCCGTGACTGTATACGTGAACAAGACAAGGTTACGAAGATGAGGTGATAATCCTTGAAATTATATTCTCTTCATATCATGGTAGTACATGTATTCATTGTTTTGATCTGTTGTATGATTATTATAATTATGATGGCGTCATTGACGACCATTCGTTATCCTCATTCATCTGGTGTTTGAAGCATTAAGGCTTCATTTCCGTACTCTTGCGTGCTGTCACCCATGTTCTCAATGTCAAAGATTCCATTTTCAACATTACGTTGATTATTGTCATGTGCGTCCTCGACAACCATGCAGATGCTGGTGAGTGTACGTCACGGACAGATACAGATACCGATATCAGTCATGAAGAAAATATCTAGTAAAATCTATTTTATTCCTGTATAAAACAGTAAGTGAATCTAACCAAATTAGTTACCATACAGATGAGCACGTCTTTATATCAAATTCTGTTATATAATATATGACGCCAATTAACTAATGTTTAATATTTTAACATTTTATTAACCATGTTGTCGAGGTTAATATTTTATTAACCACCATTCATTGATGATGTTCTTCAATTCATATTGGAGGAAAAACAGTTGTCCGATGCCTACATGTACATGAAAATCAATCATAACATAAGTTATGCATGCTGAACTAGTGCTGGAAGCCTTTTTTAAATAAATAAT